AGTTTGTGTTTAAGTGTCATTCATTAAAGATATAAAACAGAAGTGTGATGGGAAGTTCAGGGAATTTTGAGTTGGGGATGGAGTTACCGTTTTAAATATGATGATTAGAAAGGATTGAGAAAGTATTTGAGAAGAAACATGAAAGAGGTAGTGGGAGCAAATTCAAAGGGTCAAGAGGTGGGAGCTTGTTTGTCATTTTTAAAATATATTGAAGCCATCAAATATAGATACCATGGAGTGGGGCAAAAAGGGAGTAGAGGAAGATGAGCTCAAAGACAAAGCAAGGGCCAGATTGTGTGGGGCTTTGTAATGACTTTGGCTTTTACCCTCAGTGAAATTGGAAACTATTGGAAGGCTTTAAGCCAAGGATAACTGGCAACCTTGTGGGAAAATAAATAATAGGAGGGCAAGGACAGAAGCAGGAACTCATCTAATAGATTGTTAACTATCCAGGTGAAAGGGAGATTGTCTTGGACTAAGGTAGAAGCAATGTAGAGATAGTTAGGCTCTAAATATATTTTGAAGGTATAGCCAGGGTTCATTGCTAGGTAAGATGTGGATTGAGGGCCAGCCAGTAATGTGGTGGTTAAGGTGGCCGGATCCCAGATGGCCCACTGTGCAGTTCAAAACCCAGCCCAGTAGCTTGAAAATCACCAGGTATATGTGTGTTTGCATGCTCAAAATCCTAAAAGTAAATTGAGGAGGAATTGCAGCATGACCATCCCCAATGGGGTGTGTTGCCTCTCTGTCTGTCTCTTTTGTCAAGTGCATATCCCCTCTGACAATTTACAAAAAAAAAAAAAAAGAAAGAAAAAGAAAAAAAAGTGGATTGAGAGAGAAGAGAGCAGTAATATAATAGATGACTCCAAAGTTTTTGACATAAGCAAATGAATAGATGGAATTACCATTAATTAAGTTGGAGAAGGCTGCTGGAGGAGCAGGTTTATGGAGTATAGGAGTTTGGTTTTGGATATATAAATTTGGGTAAATTTAGATATCTAAATGGAGATGCCCTTCCTTTTCTTTGTTCTCTAATCTAGACTACACAAGTTTTAGTCTGGCAACAACTGACAGTTATGGTGTTTTTGTGTAATGGTCTTTTTTTTTTTTCTATAGATAATTACTGTAGAGGTAATTGTGAGTTGAATTTTTAGGTATGGGTTTGTTTTGCTAAGTGTACTATAGGGAAATATGTGAAATAGACCAGGTGACTATTTCTTTCACATTGATTTCCAGCTAAAAACCAGACATTGATGAGTGAAAAATGAGGAGTTATATCAAGAGCAAATTATTAAAGCAAAATTGAGGACTGAAACCAAAATGATGCAGAATATAATTATGGTTAGTTTGATATTTTAGGCATTATATCTACTAATAGTTTACCTGATAATTCATAAATTTATTTTAGATTTCTCCCAGCCAAAATGAATGTCATATGTAAATTTTGAATCTAGATTAGCCTATCCTTTAAGGCTTAATATGAGCTTTATGTGTATTGTCTTGTCTATTTGTAAATCTTTTCTGTGAAATTTTATTCTTAGGAATTAATATTTAGAAACAATGTTAGAAGATTAGATTTTAAAATTTAGTAAAAGCATTTTTATGTACTAAATTTAGTTCCATCCCATATTTGTACTTATGCTGTGATGCAACTTTATATATAACAGATGTGCTATAAAAAGGGGCTTCCAAAACAGAAAAATAAAATACAAAAAGTCTTCAACAAAACAGGGCTTTCATAAAAAGTAAGGCTTATCTTTAAGAAACATTTCTATTCAATTCCCATTGATAAATTATTTCATTTTTTTTTCTACCAATACATACAGAAGACTATATAAGATAGACAAATACAATTGAGATGTAGGAATGTCTTCTGGAAACTGGTAGATGGGTGAATAAATAGATTTCAAGATAAAATATCAATTTTGTGAGAGTCTCAAGCAAAATACTATGTAACATTAATGAAACAGAGATGGTCTAAATATCAGAAAACCTTGTAAAGAAATAAATATGGGGGCCAGAAGGTGATGTGGTGGTTAAAGGTGCTGGATTCCCATATAGCTGATCGTAGTGTGAGTTCAAGACTTGGCGGCTTGCTTCCTCACTTTCCCTTTCTCTCTCTCTCTGGTCAAATTAAAAAATAATAACAAATAAAAACCAATAAATCATTCTTTTAAAAAAAGAAATAAGTATGGAATCAGCAGATGGCTTAGTGATTACCTCCTGGACTCCCACGTAGTTGACTGCAGTTCATTTCCTGGACCTGGTAGCTTGAAACTCACTCCAGGCACACGTGAGTGCATGTCTAAAATCCCAATGGGATACTGGAGGAGAAGGGATTGCTGTGAGACCATCCTTCCAAGGGGGTGATTTCTCACTTCCTGTCTCTCTGTCTCTGTGGCAAGCACCATATAGCAAAAATCTCTTTAAAAAAATAATTAAAAGGGAACCAGCAGTTAGCATAATGGCTATGTCACTGGACTCCCACGTAGTCGACCGCGGTTCGCATCCTGGACCCGGTGGCTTAAAACTCACGCCGGGCGTGTGTGTGTGCATGCCCAAGATCCCCAGAGGAGAATGGAGGAGAAGGGATTGCAGCATGGCCACCCCCTCGGGGGGAGATTTCTCACTTTCTGTCTCTCTGTCTCTCTGTCTATCTGGCGAGCGCACGCGCCCTATGGCAAAAACCTATCAAAAAAAAAAATAAATAAAAGCATACACATGACAGATTGAAGGTATAAAATAATTATTATATTTGCTTTGTCTGACTAGGGCATGTGTACAAAAGAAATATTTAAGACAACTAACCAGAGGAATTAAGGATAATTTTTTTAAGTCATTCCAAATTTGGCTGCAATTTTATTTTCTAATACTGTTCTTCTCCTACATTTCTCTCTCTTTTTTTTTCCACTCGTTTTTATTGTCTGCCTCTAGCCAGATTTTGTACATCCCCTTCATTCAGGCTACCTTCTCTCTGGCTTCATTCTGCCTTAGTACATTTCCTTTTCTTTTTTTTAAAGCTTTTTGCTCTAGGATGCCTGCTCTCACCAGAGAGATACAGTAAGAGGGAAAGTGAGATATCACCTCTGGGGAAGATGGCCATGCTGCAGTCCCTTTTCTTCCATTCTCCTCTTTGTATTTTTGACATACACACAGACACTCCTGGGGGTGATTTTCAAGCCGCCAGGTCCAGAACTCAAATTGTGGTAGACCATGTGGGAGTCCAGTGCCTTCACCTCTACATCACCTTCTGGCCCCTGCGTTAGTACAGTTTCAGTGGGCAGCTTTAGCTAGGCTAGTCTTCACTGGTCTCCGTTTTTTAAACTCCTTTAGAACTTAAAGTCTTGTTGGGCCCAACAGGTGGCATGGTGGTTAAGGGCACTGAACTCCACATGGCTGACCACAATTTGAGTCCTGGACCTGGAGACTTGCTTTTTCACTTTCCCTCTCTCCCTTTCTTTCTCTCTCTTGCTCTGGTCAAATTAAAATAAGTAAATAAAGTTAAGTAAAATAATAATAATAATTTTTTTAAAGAACTTAAACATATTGTAGATCATTGTTTTGTTGTTATTGCTTTGTTTTATTAGAACAAAGGTTTTTTTTTGTTTTTTTTTTGGAGAGGTTTTTTCGCTATAGGGCACATGCACTTGCCAGACAGACAGAGAGAGACAGAGAGACAGGAAGTGAGAAATCACCCCCCAGGGGGGATGGTCACGCCGCAATCCCTTCTCTTCCATTCTCCTCTCAGGATCTTGGGCACGCACATACACGCACCTGGCGTGAGTTTTAAGCCACTGGGTCTGGGACGCGAACCACAGTCGACTACGTGGGAGTCCAGCAACATAGCCATTATGCTAACTGCTGGTTCCCTAGAACAAAGGTTTTGTTTCTGTTAGTTCTGTAGATTGTAGTCCTCAAGGGCAGAATCACCCTGAATGTGCTTTAGTGATAAGAGCAGTGATTGTGCTCCTGTTTATCATTTTATCTTTAGCATATGCTACCGTACTGGAGTATATAGTAATGGTCAAAACATTTTAACTGAGGGTCAGCAGGTGACTTGGTGGTTCAGGTACTGGATTCCCACATGGCCAACTGCGGTTCAAGTTTTGGACTTAGTGGCTTGAAAATTACACTGGGCATGTGTGCATGTGTGCCTAAAATCCTGAGAAGAGACTGGAGAAGGGATTGTGGTGTGGCCATCCCCATGGGGAGTGATTTCTCCTTTTCCTTCACTCTCTCTCTATTGCGTTCTGGTGAGTGCACATGCCCTATGACAAAAACCTAAAATTTAAAAATAAAAATAACTGACTGGAAAAGTAAATGATACTATTCTGACTTATATAGAATATGTAAGACATAAATAAACTAGTTGTCTCTGATTTTTTACTGGTTTTAGAAGTTCATATTAAGGAAAGTTACATTAAAAACTTTTTTTCTTGGTAGATATGTAGTTCTTCAATTTACTTTTTTTCCCCCAATTTACTTTTGAGTATATAGATAATAGTATATTGCTCAATATCTCTTTGGTTTGTAGGTTATTTTTCATAGGTTATTTTATATGTCAGTATTCTCTGGGAATTGAAGACAATTTTAACTGGGACTTTTGGTAGTTAAACTAATTTGAAACTTTGTGTTTATAGATTGCTTGTCTTATTGAATGCTCTCAATTTGTACAGTTCATCTTTGTATAACTTTTCTGTAACATAGCTATCACATTTTTGTTGACAGTTTAATATGGAAACTTAAAAAAACCCCATAATTATATGAGTATAATATAGTAGTAGTAAAACTAATGCTAGAGAATCATGAAAATCCTAAGTGGTTAATTCATTTTAGAATTTAAGCAGCGTTTGCCTTTAGTTAATCCAGAGTGAAATACGACTGTACTTTTCTTTTTTTAAAGTGCATCACAGCTAAATCTTTTTATCGTATCATTCCTTTCCTCTTTCTTCCCTTAAACTTGCTCCCTTCTGTGTCCCTTGTGTACCCATTCCCTACAGCGTTCCCTGCTGGCTGTGGTGGAGCTTGGTGCCCTCTGAATTGCATAATCACCCAAATGAGTACCAGAGGAGTCTAAGAAACCCTGACAGCTGACTACTTGCTTTCACCAGGAATTAGGGACCTTTTGTCTGAATTTCCTGCCCTCAGGTAATATTTCAATTCCCCGTCTTTATTTTTTTCTTTCTATAAATGCAAACACTTAATATGCCCCACGTCAAGATATTTTGAGAATATTTTTATCATTAAAATGATAATTCTTATCATTTTAGTCAGATGACAATTTCATTTTCTTTACTATGTAGCCAAAGACTCCTAATTCCTCTCTTAGGATGTCTTTTGTAACAGATGAGGTTCTGCAACACATTTAGTTACAACCAGCTCTTTGTGATGTTGCAATAGAGAGTTTTATAACTTCCAGCTAGCTATTTGGAAATAGTCATTAGTGTTTTATCTACTTTTTACTGGGTAAGGCTTCATATCTAATGTAATTAGTTAGGTATGAAGGCTCTTCTGATAAAGAGGATGTTTTGATCATTTCTCTCATCATTGAAGAACATAAGAGTTTATTTTGTGTATTTAATGTTAATTATAGTTTTTATCAAAGAGATTGAAGTAAGTCTCATGAACAGCAGTACAAATAAGATTCATTTTTGAAGAGCATTCTGTTCTACCCTCTCCTGCCGTTTTTAAAAATTCATTATGAAGGAAAGCAACTATGTTATAGAGTCAGATTCATGGAAATGGTCCTGAATCCTTTTCAATTTAGCACTCACTGAAAACATCTAGAAACTAATATCATTGGGCATTTTATATTTGTGTGCTTGCCAGAGAACATGAAAGAGAGAGGGAGAAAGCACCCTCAATGGGGTGTGGTCACCCTAGATTCCTTTTTCCTCAACTTCTCCTTTGAAATGTTGGGCACACACACACATGCTCCCAAGATGTTTTTCAAGCCTCCAGGGTTGAGATTTAACCATGGTCGACTATGTAAAATTTAGCTCCCTTAACCACTTTGGCAGTGGTTGGCCCTGTCATTGAATATGTCTCATCCTCAGGAAATTTATCCACATAAGTACTTTGAACCTATTCTAAAAGTCTTGTAAGAAATTGTTAACTAAAAACTAACCATGAGTGGAGTTGCAACTCATTACACACTTACTCTAGGAGAAATGGGACAGTTGATAAACTAGTTGTCTCTGATTTTTGACTGGTTTTAGTTCCTGTCAAGGAAAGTTATATTAAAAACTTGAACCATGGTCGACTATGTGGGAGTTCAGTGATGTAACCATTACACTGTCTGCTGGTCCCTGTATTATTATTATTATTTTTTAGGGGAACTTTTGCTATAAGGTGTGCACACTCACCGGAGACACAGAGAGACAAAAAGCAAGAAATCACCTGGGTAGGGGGGAGAGGGATGGCAATGCTACAATCTTTTCTCCTCCATTCTCCTCTGGGATTTTGGCATGCACGCACATGTGCCCAGCACGAGCTAAATTTAAGCCATTAGGTCCAGGACTCGAACCATGTTCAACTACGTGGGAGTCCAGTGATATAACCATTATGCCACCTGCTGTTCCCAACCTTATGGTTATATCATATTTTATTTTTTTGCTAGAGGGTATATACACTTACCAGAGGGAAAGGGAGAAGGAAACACCCCTCAGTGGGTTGTGGTCAAGTCGCAATCCCTTTTCCTCCATTTATCTATCCTGTCAGAATTTGGACAGGCATGCACACATGCCTGGCATGTCTTTTAAGCTGCTGGAACCAAGATTCAAACTTTGTCATCAGCCATGTGGAATCTGGCTCCCTTTACCACCAGGCTATTGGACTAGCCCACCTTCTAATTTTAATTAGTCATTATTCCTTTTTATTTAAATAACTCTTGGGTTGGTTCCATGGCTCATTGTTAAGGGAGATATCACACATGGCCATCTGCATGGTTCAAATCCTGGCCCCAGCATCTTGAAAAGTCTGCTGGGTGTGTGTGTGTGTGCATTCCCCCAAATAAAGGCAGGATGGATAAATGAAAAAGGGATTGCACCATGACCACAATCCTCTAGGGGCTGTTTTCTCCTTCTAGCATAGAGCATGTGCCTTATGGCAAAAACAAATAAATAAAATAAACTCTTGAATTTATCATCATGATTATACTTAGGATATAGCAGATTGTTTGGCACAAAGTAGATATCAGTTAAGATTTGGTTATCTCTGCTGTCACTATCCAGATTTAATTCATCATTTCTTGTGGCAGTTGTTTCAAGTGTTGTCATTCTTTCTGCTTCATACTTCTTTGGCACTGTTAACCAGAGAGATGTTTCCAAAATGTGGACTTTTAAAATATTGTCTTTTATTTGTTTATTTATTTATTTTTAATTAGCCAGAGTGAATGTGCACTTGCCAGAGAAAGAGACAGAGAGAGAGAAGGCACCCTCCACTGGAGGAAGTCATGCTACAATCCCCTCTCCATTTCTCCCTTTTTTGGTGGGGGCAGTGGATTTTGAGCAAGCATTCACTGGTGGCCAAGCTGTTTTTCAAGCAGCTGGGTCTAGGACATGAACTATGCAGATGGCCATGTGGGATCCACCCACCTTAACCATCATGCCATCAACTGGCCCTGCTCAGAATATTAATGACTTCTGTTTGAGTTTTTTAAGATTTTTTTTTTTTTTTACTTTTTTTTTTTTAAGTAGAATTTGTTTTTGGTCCAACGATTTTTTTTTTTTTTGTAGAGGTTTTTGCTATAGGGCACATCGCTTGCCAGAAAGACAGAGACAGTCAGAAAGTGAGAAGTCGCCCCCCAGGTGGGATGGCCATACCACAATCCCTTCTCCTCCATTCTCCTCTTGGGATCTTGGGCATGCATGCACACGCAACCAGTGTGAATTTAAGCCACTGGGTCCAGAGCTCAAACCGCGGTCGACTAGGTGGGAGTCCAGTGACATAGCCACTACACTAACTGCTGGTCCCACAATGATGTACTTTTTGAAAAATATTTATTTAATTTTTATTTATTTATTCATTTATTTTAATTGGACCAGAAAGAGATAAATAGAGAAGGAGAGAGAAAGTGAGAAAGTAGGCCACCAGGTCTGGGACTTTAACTGTGGTTAGCCATATGGGAGTGTCCACCATGCCCGCCTGCTGGCACCTGTCCAAAGATTCTTAAAATAGAACGCAACTGCTTAAAATAGACAAAAGTAGAGCTCCTCTATTTGAGCCAGTAATTGGCGGAGGGTGGAAGCTGATGGTAGTGTGGAGGCAGGGTCATCCAGCATATCCTTAAACTATGAGCAGTCTTTTTGGGGCACTGTGGGAACGACACCTGATGTACAGGGTGAAACCCATATTCCTTGGCATGGAAAACAGAGTCCTTCATGATCTGACTTTGTTGGCTTTTCAAGGTATTATCATCTCTTTCCAAACTACTCAATGCTTTGTACTTATGTATGTGCCTTCTGGATATGACCCTATAGCCAAAACATAATTTTGCCTCTAAAATGTCCTTCTCTTTATCACTGGGGAGACTCAATTTGTTGGGGGGCTGGTCTTCTCCCAGGGTGGGAAGGTTTCTTTTTTGCTCAGGAAAAAAATTAAGAATGAGCCTTGAGAGAGAGTAAAAGCAGGTTTATTAAGAAAAGTATACAGAGTAGATTACTCCGTAGGTGGAGCAGTCTCATGTGAGGAGATGGGTGAACAGTTTAATTCCCTCTTTGAGTGAACAGCATTAGGGACAGGATCAAGCTGAGCTGCCACTGCTCATGGCCTCCCTAGTTGCAATCCTCAAGAAGAAGGGGAGAATTGTTACCTGAAAGGAAAGATAGAAGGACTGCCTCATAGGCAGGGCATCCCCAGACTTCAGTGGGCATTTGGGTTGTATGACTTGGCTTACTGCCAGGCTCTGTAAGGGACAGTTTATTCATGACTTTTTCAGGAAAGGGCAGTGCTTATCCAGGATCCACTGTCCTTCCCATTTTCTTGCCTTATTTGGGTAGGCTGGTTGTTGTCATGGTTATTATAACTCATGCTACAGTCAGGAGTGTTACTTAATACGCTCATACAGTACAGTGAGGGTATAATGAGTTTGAAGGTTAGGCAGTGATTATTTTCAGTGCCATCTTGGTTCCAACTGGTTCATACTCCATTTCTCAGCCACCTACTATCAAGGTTTATTGTTTTATTATAGTTTTGGAATGTCCCTTGGCTCAGTCCCTTCCTTTCTCAACTCTGTCTTATTCACCTGACAAAAACATAGTCTTAAAAACATAGCTGACACGAGACCAGCAGTTAGTGCAATGGCTGTCGCTGGACTCCCACGAAGTCAACCGCGATTCGAGTCCCGGACCCGGTGACTTAAACATGCTGGGTGCATGTGCATGCGTCCCCAAGATCCCGAGAGGAGAATGGAGGAGAAGGGATTGCAGCGTGACCATCCATCCTGGGGGGTGATTTCTCGCTTTCTGTCTCTCTCTCTCTCTCTGTCTGTCTGGTGAGCGCATGTGCCTTATAGTGAAAGCTTCTCAAAAAAAAAAAAAAAAAAACAACAAAGAAAACAAACAAACCATAGCTGATGTGCTGTCTGCTCTAAAGACTTTTCCAAAGTTGCCTTCTTTACTATTAAGAAAATTGGGACCAGCAGGTGGCATGGTGGTTAGGGTGCTGGACGCTCCCACATGGCTGACCACAGTTCGAGTCCTGAATCTGCTGACTTGCTTTCTTGCTTCCTCTCTCTTTCTCTCTTTCTTTCTCTCTGGTCAAATTAAAAAAAAAAGTAAATAAATGAATAAATAAAATTAAATAAATAATTAAAAAAAAGAACATTGATGATCGATCACTTTCCCTGTGCCTCTATCTTATACCATTTCTTTTTTTTTTTGTTTTTGTTTGTTTGGTTGGTTTGGAGAGGTTTTTGCTATAGGGTGTGTACACTTACCAGAAAGACAGAGAGACAGAAAGAGAGAAATCACCCCCCATAGGGGGGGTGGCCATGCCGCAATCCCTTCTCCTCCATTCTCCTCTCGGGATCTTGGGCATGCACGCACACGCACCTGGTGTGAGTGTAAGCCACCGGGTCTGGGACTCGAACCGCAGTCGACTACATGGGAGTTCAGCGACATAGCCTTTACACTAACTGCTGATCCCAT